TAGGAAAAATCCATTCTTTTCAAATTTTAAAATTCAATAACGTATGAGTTTGTTATACCTTTCCCATTCTTGTTTCGTATTTTTGCTTCCCCTTCACATTTTCAGCTAAACTAAGCTAGTATTCTCCCCCTCAGTTTATCCTATGATATTTATATCAAGTTTCATTGTATGTTAAATTAAAAATTTTATCCTATGGTTTGAAGAAAGTTAAATTTCAATCCTTGTGATCTTAGAAGTTATAACTTTATATTGATGGTTTGATAACATCTTATTATAGTGACTAATTCTAACATTCTCAAGGGACCCATTTATAATCTAATGATTATTATAATAGTTTGCTTCAAATGATGAGATAGGATTGGTTCATACTGTACTCATCAATTCATTTTATTTTATAATATTGTAATGAAGCGTTGAAATTGGCTAAGGCCAAGATGAGGAAGCTTGGGTGGAAATTGCTGAATGTCCAACTACATGCCAAGTTGTAACTTGTAATTAGCATATTTTAAATTTGATTTTATATACTTAAAACAGCTTAGCTTAAATTATAAGCTTTTTTTTTTATAGGATTTTATTAAAATTTAGGGGCTAATTATAAAAACTAAATTCTAATTTTTTTTTTTTTTCCAAATTATATAATATTTGCACATTCTTATGTCAACGGTATTCACCAACTGTTTCTGGACATCCCTTTTCCGTGCCACTCTTCGCTCGTAAACCCACCACTGTACTTTTCCTCTTTTGCAGTCATGTCCTTTTGTTCTCTGTATTCCCCTTTTAGACCTCATAATTAATTCATACTATAATGTGTTTTTAAATCTTTATTTTAAATTTCTAAACCCTTAGTTAAGATATATTCTAATTTTATTTGTTTGTCCGATAATTGAAGACTGAAATATTAATTGTGAAATGATAACAAGTTGGCACGCATTGTATTACTTTTTTATATGTATATATTATATTTCCAAACAATTAGTTATTGCTTTTTTTTAAAATTATTAAATATAATTAAAATTAAACTATAAGTATGTAGTGCAATTTATATTAAATAAAAAAAATTAGACTTTTTTAAAAAATTGGAAAATTACAAATTTAGTTATTTTGTCCTTAAACTTTAAAATGTATAAAAAAATAATAATAAGCTTTAGATATTTGAAAATAAAATTATTTTAATATATACAAGTAATAATTAACATGTAGTTTTTTCTTAAAATGAAAATTTGAAACGTCTTATACCCATATTTATTGTATTAAAAAATAAAATATTTAAATTAAAAATAAAGAAAGAAAAATTTCTAGCTCTTTTTTCTATATTTAGGAAAGCTAGATTGATTAAATTATTATATTTTTCTTTAAAAGGTCAGAAATTAAAATTCTTTAAAAAAAAAAAATGTTGCTGAAAACAATTTTGGGCAGGTTTATGAATTATGAAACTTCCCGCCCACTTTTTTTATTTATGAATTCTTCAGGGACCATATCTGTAAATTCCAAAAATATATATTAATACATTAATATATTTTTTATTTCCGGCCGAACGGAAATGTTTTGACTTCTCTCAGCAAAGAGACCACAATTTCATCATCTTCTGAAGTTCAACGCCTCTCCTCTCTCTCTCTCTCTCTCTCATCCTGCTCATGTTCTTCATCCTTGAATCCGTCAAAGCCTCCTATCCCATTCGATTCTATTTAAACTCTTTTCAAATCCTTCCATGTCTCCATCACTTTCCTGGGAAATTTCTGGTTACTCTAATCGGCGTCCATGGCGTGGACTTTCAGTTCCGGCGTCCAAATGTTACTGGTTCTTTCTGTTTACCTACTCGCCTGCGGGATGAGAAGCGGCGAGGCGGCTTCGTTTAAGTTCAATGTCCATCATCGATTTTCGGAATCGATAAAGGGAATTCTCACGTCTGAAGGCTTACCGGAGAAACACACCCCTGCTTATTATGCCACTATGGTCCATCGCGATAGGTTAGTTCGCGGCCGGCGACTGGCTTCCAGCAACGGCGATACGAAGCTGACGTTCGCTTATGGCAACGAGACGTTCTACATCGAAAATTTGGGATAGTAATGCTCCTTGTTTTCTCGCTTCATTTCCCTAATTGCTTCTCTCGATTTCGATTTTTGAGTGTTTGTGATTTTCTGTTGTTCTTACTTTAAACGTTATCGATTGCCTAATTGATCCGTTTTGTTTGTTTCTGATTGGAGCTTTTCAGTTTGTACTACGCCAATATATCGGTGGGATCGCCGTCGTTAGATTTCTTAGTGGCATTGGACACTGGAAGCGATTTGCTCTGGTTACCTTGTGAATGCCGTAGTTGTTTAACTTATTTGAACACAACAGATGGTGGGAAGGTATTTTCTCGTTCTGATTTACTTTCCGCGCCTTCATCAAATTCTCTTAGTTGATGCTCTGATGATATCAATTGGCTGATTTATTTTTTGTTCATCTTTCAACAGTTTGCGTTGAATCATTATAGTCCAGATGATTCAACAACGAGCGCACCTGTTCCCTGCAGCAACTCTTTGTGCGAGCTTTCAAACCAGTGCACTTCGAACACAAATACTTGCCCTTACGAAATTAATTACCTGTCTGCCAATACCTCATCCAATGGCTACTTGGTACAGGACGTCTTGCACTTGGCCACTGATGATTTAAAACTCAACCCTGTCGAAGCCAAGATTACTTTTGGGTGAGTTATGCTCCTTCCAGTTGAATCACCCATATTACTTTTATGGTTTTATTTTTGGCTTTCCCAAAAGTCATAAGTCATAGTGTTCTTTACTTATAAACTTAGGATTTAATTCCTTAATTAGCACGTGAGACTCATTCCTAACAATCCTCAACAATACTCTCCTCGAACAAAGTACACTATAGAGCCTTCCTTCTATGTAGCATTCGAACAGACTCCCCTTAATCGAGGCTTAACTCCTTTCTTTAGAGCCCTTGAACAAAGTACTCCGTTTGTTCGACATTTGAGTCACTTTTGTGACGTTTCTGTTAATGTAAGAAAGTACTCCTGAACAAAATTAACAGTAGCAAGACCATGGTGCTGTTCTTCGTGGAATTTTAATCATCTTTTGGCAGTTTGTTATGGATTTCATAGTCATCATAATCATCTTAGAGAAAACATCTGCAATTTGGTGTGTTGTTGGTTGAATGTGATTGTTCATGGCAGGTGCGGTACGGTTCAGACTGGTGTATTTCAAAGAGGTGCAGCTCCCAATGGTCTTATTGGGCTTGGCATGGACAGGATATCAGTTCCAAGCTTATTGGCAAACCAAGGGCTTACCACAGATTCATTCTCCATGTGTTTCGGGATTGATGGTATTGGGAGAATCGATTTTGGAGACTCAGGCACCCCAGGCCAAAGAGAAACACCCTTCAATACCATGGCCAACTAGTAAGAACTTGTCATTTCTTAACCATATATTCAAAATCTGACCTTCATTTCTCTTGAGGACTCTGGTTTTTCCAACTGGCTTGTGTTGTTCATTCTTGCAGTCCATCCTACAATGTCACCGTCACTGAGATAATTGTGGGAGGAAAAGCCAACAATGTTGAATTCACCACAATTTTCGACTCCGGTACCTCGTTTACCTACTTGAATGATCCAGCTTACTCCATTATTTCTGAGCAAGTAAGCTTATCTGCAGTTTCAACTCTTGGGAAGTGGCATATGATTTCATGGGATCTCTTGTATTTATACATAGCTATTGTGCAGATGAATGCAGGAATGAAATTAAAGCGCTTTACAACAGATCCCGATTTCCCATTTGAGTACTGCTATGAACTTCCGTAAGTAGTTAATAAGGAAGATAATGAAACCATTTAATTCTCTTTCAAAAGATTTGGGTATTCTGATTCATGCTCGGTCTATATGCAGTGCTAACGACAAAGTTGAACGTCCGATACTGAACTTTACGATGATGGGTGGGGACGATTTTGTCCCCATGGATCTGTTCATTGGTTTTCCTATTGACGTGAGTACTCTGAACAGTTGAAGTAATTTTTTCTGATTTGGATAAAGATAAGATCAAGTTATCCAATGAGTGCTTTGGATTTTCTGGCTCTCTCACTCGTTTTTGCAATCTTTGAAGCTGATTTTGATCTGTTTTTTTTTTTTTTTTTTGTTATTTTCTTGGAATTCAGGATACTACACATGCAGTTTGTCTAACCCTTATCAAAAGCAACGATATTAATCTAATTGGACGTGAGATCCCCTGGCTCTGCATCTAATTTATATTGGCTTGTTCTAGTACTAGTGGTTTTTTAACTTTTAAGGTTGGAAGAATCGCTTATGATCCCAGGAACTTTCTTTTTCTTGCAGAAAACTTCATGACTGGTTACCGTATTATCTTCGATCGTGAAAAGATGGTGTTGGGATGGAGTCCTTCAGACTGTGAGTATTTCTTGACCTGAAAATTTCCCCCCCCCTTTTTTTTTTTTTTTGCATTATCAGTGAAGCTTGTTTCTTAAATCCAGGTTACGACAGTGACGCCGGCACTCCCTCCGGTGACACCCCTCCGGCCAAAGACTCCCCCCCGGCCGACGACTCTCCCCCGGCCGACGACTCTCCCCC